GCCTCTGTCCTGGCCGGGCTGCAGCGCCGGGACGGCGCCCTCAAGACTCTGGTGTACAAGAGCCGCTTCCAGGTAGCGGGGCCGGGCCGGGGGGCAGAGCTAGGCAGGAGCCGGGGATATTGGGGGCAGGGCCAGGCAGGGGGGCTGGGGGCAGGGGTTGGGGATATTGGGGCAGAGCCGGGCAGGGGGGCCCAGCCCCCTGGCTCACAGGGCGGGGGGCAGAGCTATGCAGGGGCTGGGGATATTTGGGGCAGGGGGCAGGTATTGCGGATATTGGGGGCAGAGCTAGGCAGGGGTTGGGGATATTGGGGGCAGAGCCGGGCAGGGGGGCTGGGCCCCCTGGCTCACAGGGCTGGGGGGCAGAGCTAGGCAGGGGTTGGGGATATTGGGGGCAGAGCCGGGCAGGGGGGCTGGGGGCAGGGGTTGGGGATGTTAATGGCCGAGCCGGGCAGGGGGGCTGGGCCCCCAGGCTCACCGGGCCTGTCCCCATAGAACGTGAAGCAGCTCTATGCCCTGGTGTCAGAGACCCTGCGCTACTCACCCGTGCTGGACTCCATCATGGACGGGGCTGCCCTGCTGAAGGCTGAGAAGAAGCTGACCCCACACCTGGCCAAGGTAAGGCCTGGCCCTGCCCAGCCTGTCTTGGGGGGATGCTCTGGGCTGGTGGCCCTGGGCTGGGCCTGACCCACTCTGTCTTGCTGCAGGTGCTGGTGTACGACCTGCTCTTTGGCAAGGGTCTGAAGTGCGGGGGCCGCTGGAAAGTGCTGGTGTTGAAGCACCGGGCCCGGCTGCAGGCAGAGCTTGCCCGTCTCAAGGTGCGCAGGAAGGTGAGCTGCAACGAGGATCTGCTGGCGCCCACAGAGGGGGTGATCCAAGGTGAGTGTGGGGGCTGTCCCCAGCAGGTGGGCCTCTAGATTGGGGTGAGACCCTGCAGGATTCCTATGCCCACCTCTGCCTGGATGGTGACTTGTGACTGCTTCTGCAGTGGGAGGGTGTGCTGTAGTTCCTGGCTTCTTTAAGGGTATGCTCTGTACTTGTGCCATCATTTCACTAGGGATACGGGTCATGTATGGGGCAATGATTTCCAGGTTCATTCTTTGGGGCATTGGGTCTGTTTGCGCTGGGCTCCTGGTTAACCTGTGACTTAGTAAATGGACCTGCAGACTGGGCTAGGTGTGACCTGATCTGTCTCTTCCATCTCTGTCTGATGCTTGGAACCAGCTGGAGTATTCTTGTATCTCAGGTGATTTGGGAAAAGGGATTGTGTGTGTCTAACCTGTTTGTTTTGCTTCCCCAGCCCTTCAAGTGCCACGCTATGTCCGAGTGAACACCCTGAAAACTTGCAAGGATGATGTGGTCGACTACTTCAAACGCCAGGGCTACTCCTACCTGGGCAGGGCAACCAGGTAAAGCCATCCCTGGCCTGTCCCTGGACCCTGCGCTCTGGTCTTCGCTGACCTGCCAAGCTGATAGCCCCAGGTGGGAGATGGGGGAGTCCTTGCACCTACTGTAGTGACCTTCCAGACAATCAAGGGTTGGCACCGCAGGAAGCCATAAGCCATCCTCTTTGTGAAGGGGAGGAGCAGAGCCTTGTGTGTGGAAGAGAATGAGAGGGGTAGGGACACTATCTTCAGTATTGGCAGTGGATGGGTTGGAGCTTCTAGAGTGATGCTCTCTGCCCTGGATTCTGCTCAGCTACTCGGCTGGCCTTGAGATAGGGTTGGGGTATGGGCTTTAGTTGGCTCATGAGAAAGGGGGAAATCTGTAGCTGGCCTCTGAAGGACTTTTGAGCTTGTGGGAATCAGGATGTGTGTTCCACTAAACCCGTCTTCTCCCTCCCCACTCCCTGCTGTCTCTGGGTAGAATGGAGGAGCTGAGCTCCCTCTCAGGGAAGCAATTCCTCTTGGATCCCCACCTGCCGGAGCTGCTTGTCTTCCCGCCACAGACAGACTTCCATGAGAACCGGCTGTACGTCGCAGGGCATATCATACTGCAGGACAAGGTGTGGGGCGCTGGGGCGAGAAGAGAGAAGTGCCAGGGGGTGGTTCTGCTGTGGAATGGAGTGAGGCGCGGTGATGGGTGTCACAAGGCTATACAGGAAGGATGAATGTTGTTTTTAGGCCACAACCCCCACATACTTTGTAGCAAACTTGAGCTAAATTCTGTGGCTTTCTGGTGCAACAACTTAAGGTAGATCTAAGAAGTGGTGACCTTTAATGGGGCAGAATGGCCTAGATACGACCCTGAAAGATCATGCGGTTCCCATAGTTCTCAACATGCTGCAGGTTTTTGTACTGACAGCTAACGGCACTGTCGAAATTGCCTGGGGCAAACTGGGAGATGCAGGAGGCAGTTTGGGGTTGTGGGATAAGGACCCCAGCTGGGTGTTTCTGCTAAAGAGCAATGAAATAGTTAAGCTTATCAACTCTGAAACCTAATGATGCTAGTTAAATGTCAACACCCCATCAAGACAAATGGGAGCAAGTTGTGTCAGTCTCAGGCTTACTGCAGACTGAGGCAGCTGGCACTGCGTTGGTTACTCTGTGTTGGAAGGCTATCTCCATAACCCTGAGAGTGACAAAGTCGTATTTTTATGGAAGTTTTGATTCCCCAGCCGGGGGTGGATTCTGTGGCTGTGGAATGACTTAGGGGAGTGGTCTGAAGAGATGGGGATAAGTGTCTGTATTGGGGAGGTAGGTACTGCAGGTGCAGAGCTGTGACTGGTGGTGTCTCTTCCAGGCCAGCTGCCTTCCTGCCTTCCTTCTGAGTCCCCCCTCGGGGTCCCATGTAATCGATGCCTGCGCTGCCCCCGGGAACAAGACCAGCCACATGGCTGCCATCCTGAAGAACAAGGGGTGAGTGCGAGCTGCAGGACGGAGCTGTGTGGGTGAGGGCTGCCTGCTGTTGTGATAAGCAATTTTCCCAGGGCAGGGCACTGATGCTCTAGCCTAGCAGCCGTTCTGATGAGGAAAGGAGCCTTGGGAGGGAGGGACACATGCCGTCTTTGGCCTCAGTTCTGCTCAGAGCCCTCTGGGTCCTGCGACAACCGAGGGGTTGATTCTGCAGCTCAGCCTGATTTCTCTGGCAGGGAACACGAGTAGGAACTGCACCCATCATGGGGTTAAAAGCAGGACTACACAAGGGAAAGGGGCAAGTACTTGGGGAGCGGGCATTTTGCCTCTCGCATGTGGGAACTGGGAGTTGTTGTCAGCTTGTCTTGTTAGCTCTGTCCTTGCCTGAAATCAGTCCGGGACTGGGCAGCATCTGCGGGGACTGGTGGCAGAGCACCAACTGGAGAGTGAGGCTTGGCAACCAAAGACTCAGATTGGCAGCCATTAATATAGAGTCAAAAGGGACCATCAGATCATCTACTCTGGCTTCCTGTACGTCACAGACCACCTGCACACTAACGCAACAGCCAGAATGAGACCGAAGCATTACAGCCCGCCGGAGACTCGACTGTTCTGTGTCACGGGGAGAGGGTAGGAGGGACCGAGGTGCAGCAGTGCCTGAGGCCCCTGCAATGGCAGGGAAACTATTAAGATATACCCAGATGTTCCTGGCAAGTGACCTGTACCCACCCACTGCAGAGAGGTGACCCCCTTCCTCCCCCAGCATGCTGCCGGCTGTGCTCCGGCTCCTCCTTCAGTGGTGGGAAGGACGTGCTGTATTCCGGGGGGAAGCGGGTTAACCGACTTGGGGATGCACTCGGCCAAAACTGCTTTTGGTTGTCCGAGGTTTTCTGCGTGTCTGGGGTGGTGGGCCTGGCAGTGAAGGCAGGGCCCGGTCTGCTGGGTTATGATTCCTGTATTCCTCTTTGGGGCATTACATTCAGACAGATCTTCGCCTTTGACCTGGACCCCAACCGCTTGGCCACCATGAGCACCATGCTGGTGCGGGCTGGGGCTAGCTGCTGTGAACTGGCCAATCAGGACTTCCTGACAGTTGACCCCAGTGACCCAAAGTACAGCAATGTGACCTACATCCTCCTGGACCCCTCATGCAGCGGCTCAGGTAAGGGGTGGGGGGTAGGCCAGGCCTGTGCAGTACAAACAGGGTGATGGTTATACCCACCTGGTGTACCTGTCTGTGAGTCTCTCTAAAGGATATGCTGAAGTCAGTGGGGTTGGTGGAGAATGGACCTTTGGATGCAGAGCCTGGAGCAGGGGGGAGCCCAGCAGCTGGGTGATACAGGTGCCTGAATTGGAGCCCAGCTTGTCCAGGCCTCTCTGATAGTCTCTTCCCCCCAGGAATGGTGAACCGGCTGCCAGCTGAGGAGAGTGCCCCCAGCTCGGAGCGGCTGCGGGCGCTGGCTAGGTTCCAGCGCAAGGCCCTGAGCCATGCTCTGCGCTTCCCTGCCCTCCAGCGCCTGGCTTACTCCACGTGCTCGGTGCAGCAGGAGGAGAACGAGGACGTGGTGTGGGATGTGCTCCAGGAGCACGGCCCAGCGTTCAGGTACAGACACTTCGGCTGTAGCTGGGTCTGCAATAACCAGGCAGTGTGTGTGGGTGCCTGTGGCGAGATGGAAGTGGAATTGTCCACTGGGTGGGGGATGAGCCAGGCAGCATTGTTAGTATCTGCTCACTGCGTTTCCTGTTTGGGGGGGGGGGAAGGGGACTGAAGGCATCGTTTGGGGCAGCTCTGAGGCCCAAGGACTGTAGCCAGTGGTTCCCGTGGCAGAGCACAGTGAGAAGAGGCAGGTTTCCCCCGCCTCACCGTCCCAGGCCGCTGGCCAGCCGGGCGTTTAGGCCTCTGGGTTGGTGCCCTGCAGCGGAGCGGGCCATGGCTGGCTGGGTCACTGAGCTTTGTTGTGATCTTGCCCCCGTTCACAGGTTGGTAAACGTACTGCCTTCCTGGCCCCATCGAGGCCTCGCCACCTTCCCAGGTGCTGAGTGCTGCCTCCGAGCCTGCCCTGCAGCGACGCTGACAAACGGCTTCTTTGTTGCCGTGCTGGAGAGGCAGCAGGAATGCACCAGCCAGGGCTCCTCCAGGTGAGAACTGGTTAGAAATCCTCCGTTCCATGTGGTGTGGGGAGGCTGGCAGCACCATGCCCTGGGCTGAGTCATTTCCATTGTGCAGGCTGTCGGACAAGGCCCCTGGGCTGGGGCGACTCACGGGGGGCGGGATTCCGGAAGAAGTGGGTTTGAAGGAGCTCGTTGACCCTGAGGCGAGGTTACCATCTAGCTGTGGGGAGGGGCAGCAGGAGGCAGTGAGCCGCAGGGCCTTAGGGAAGGACATAGGTGGGAGGTGGTGGAGAGAAAGTAGCTTGGGGGGGGGGGTTGGGGGGAGATGGGAACGACAGCAAGAGCCTGGCTCAGATTGTGCTGACCCCAGGGGCGGGGCTGGGCAGGAGGAGTCGGGTGCCAGACTAGTGGAGTTGTCCGTGTCGATGGAAGCGAGGCTGGGCAATGAAGTCTGGTGGCGGGATGGCCAGTCTGGTGGAGCAGCAGCTGGGGCACTGCTGTGTTGGGAAGGTGACTTTGTCCTGCCAGTAACTCATGCTGCTTTGGGCTCTCCTCTGGCTGTTGTTTCCAGCTCCCTTCCTGCCGAGGCTGAGGTGGACGGTGGAGCAGAGAGATCCCAGGATGGAGAGGGAAGGGGCCCTCGCTCCGCCCGCAAGAAGAGGCGGAAGAAGAGCCGGTGTGTGAAATAAGGACTCGTGACGGGAGCTGCGGTGGCCCTGTGGTGGCAGCCTTCGAGCCAAGCTTCTGCCAGCTGCCTGCCTGTCCCGCTGCCGGAGCTCGGAGCCCTGAGGCATCGGGCCTGTGCTGCTGGCAAGCTTTCCCTCCACGTGGCCGGTCAGAGCAGGCTGTTCGGGCAGTACATGGTGCTGGCGAAGGGGGATGTCTAACCCGCTGCCAGCCCAGCTGCTGGAGGGTGCTCTGGCCCCGGCAGTGCACCCAGCCTGGGTCAGGGTGGAAGTAAAGCTTTCCAACCTGTTTCAGGTTTTGTCTTGAGTGAGTTTCTCTGAGCCCCAGCCTGTGCTGCAGTGTGGGCCCCGGGGCCACCACCTGAGCATGGGCTCAGACTCCTACCTACTCTCTCCGATTGGCTCTTTCATGAGGGTAGCATGCAAACCATGACTCTACGCAATCCAGCAGCTCCCCTTGGCAAGCCGGTGTCTTGGCCAGTAGACAGGCATGGGCCAGGCTACGTTGTTGTTTGGGCCTTCCTGTCTCTCTGTCAGGAACTGCTTTCTGGCCACCCGGACTTTTGCGCCTGTGAGGGGTTGAGCATCAACTTTGTCTGACTCTTACTGGTCTTTTCTGTGGCTGGAGGCCAGCAAAGCCTGTAGGTGAGAGCTTGGCTGCATTGGAGGGGGAGAAAAGTGACACTGTCAACAGCTGGGTCTAGAGAAGCTGAACTCAAAGGGGGCAGATCCGGGGCTGCTGTGAGAGGCTCATGAAAGCACCACCCCTTTCTCTGCGAGCCGTGAGCACTGCTCCCGTCCTTAGCAGCCAGCCCCAGGACAGCCTTGGGAGGGGGCGTTTCAACTGCCAAATGACCCCCCTCAATGCTTCCCTGCCCCGTGCCTGTGTAGAGTTCAGTCAGTGCTGCACACTGGGCTACCTCCTGCAGCCCCCCACAGCTTCGCTCCTCCTGCACTGGCTACACGTGAGCACAACGCAGCCTCCCTCGGTACAGCAGGGCAGTGCCTGAGAGACGCGCCGGTTACATTGAAGAATCCTGGGCTACTGCCCAAGCCCCAGCCCACCGGCGCCCAGTGTGCTAAACTCTGCTTTGGGTTAGATGTGCTAGCGATGTGGGTGTGTTGAGCTTGAACAACGCAATCCGCTCCCTCAGAAGCGCTGCAACTGTTCCAGTGCAGAGGATTCTAGGCTCCCCACCTCTGAGGCTCACAGCCAGTGTTATTTCTGTGCTTGTGTTCCAGGGGACAGGGGTTTGCTCACCTGGCTAAAATGAGCTCAGTGAGGAATTTGCATTCTTTCTGCCTGTAGCCGTCCGGCCAGCTGAGTTAAGGGACGGTGCAGAACTTTGGAAACCAAGGCACCACACGGAAGGGCCAACACTTCAAGCCCTGGTTTTTCACTTGGGTGTTTCACTTGATGCCTTAGAGGACCCTGATTTTCAACATGTCTCAAGTTATACTTGAAATGCCGCCACACTTACCAACTACAGGCTGGGTGACTGGAGTGGAGGTAGGGAAGCCAGGACTCCCACTGATCGCTGAGAGTTCAGTACTTCACACAAGTGCTCTTGGTTTTTCAGCAGGTCTCTAAGGGTAGGACCTAGCTCAAAACACCAGCCTTGGCTTCCAGCTTCCTTTTTCATCCTGTCTCCCATGAGCAGGGCCCATTCTATTAATTATATTAAAAATGGCCAATTCAACTCTCATAAGATTTTTTTTTTTTCCCTCACAATTTGTACTGAAGCTGTGAACTCAGTCCCAAGGGATGAAATGAGGCCACAAATTTAGTAAAATTAAAAGGCAGTGGACATTTAACAGAACTATCCAAAGTTATAATTAGCAGGCCAAAAAAGAATGTGAAGAACAGCTAGCCAAACGACTCAAAAAGTAATAGCAAAAAATGTTGTAAGTACATCACAAGCAGGAAGCCTGCTACACAACCCGTGGGGCCACTGGCCAATCGAGCTGCTAAAGGAGCACTCAAGGTTGATTAGGCCACAGCAGAGACGCTACATGAATTTTTTTGCATCAGGCTTCATGGCTGAGGATGTGAGGTAAATTCGGATGCATCCAAAGAAGTGGGTTGTAGCCCACGAAAGCTTATGCTCTAATAAATTTGTTAGTCTCTAAGGTGCCAAAAGTACTCCTGTTCTTTTAACATGATTTTAGTAATCTATGCCTCACCAATAAATATATAAAAAATATAAATCTACTAGAATTTTCTGAGGTGGTCAACAAGCATGTGGACAAGGGGGATCCAGTGGATAAAGTGCACTGAGATTTTCAGAGAGCTGTCATGGGATAAGAGGGAAGGTTCTCTCATGGATCGGTACCTGGTTAAAAGCTAGGAAACAAAGGGTAGGAATAAATGGTCAGTTTTCAGAATGGAGAGAGGGAAATAGTGATGTCCTCAGAGGTCTTTACCGGGACCAGCACTATTCAACATATTCATAAATGATCTGGAAAAAGGGGTAAAAAGTGAGATGGCAAAATTTGCAGATGATACAAAACTACTCAAGATAGTAAGTCCCAGGCAGACTGCAAAGAGCTACAAAGGGATCTCACAAAACTGGGTGGTTGGGCAACAAAATGGCAGATAAAATTCTAAGTTGATAAATGCAAAGTAATGCACATTGGAAAACATAATCCCAACTATATATATAAAATGATGGGGTCTAAATTATCTGTTAACCTTCAAGAAAGAGATCTTGGAGTCATTGTGGCTAGTTCTCTGAAAACATCTGCTCAAGGTGCAGCAGCAGTCAAAAAAGCAAATAGTGTAGAAAATCATTAGCAAAGGGATAGATAAGACAGAAAATATCTTATTTCCTCTATATAAATCCATGGTACGCCCACATCCTGAATACTGCATGCAGATGTGGTTGCCCCATCTCAAAAAAGGTATATTGGAATTGGAAAAGGGCAACAAAATTATTAGGGTTATGGGATAGCTTCTGTCTGAGGAGAGATTAATAAAACTGGGACTATTCAGCTTGGAAAAGATGACTAAGGGGGGATATGATAGAGATCTATAAAATCATGACTGGTGTGGAGAAAGTAAATAAGGAAGTGTTATTTACGCCTTCTCATAACACAAGTACTAGAGGTCACCAAATGAAATTAATAGGCAGGTTTAAAACAAACAAAAGGAAGTATTTCTCCACACAATGCACAGTCAACCTGTGGAACTCTTTGCTAGAAGATGTTGTGAAGGCCAAAACTATAACAGGAAAAAAAAGAACTAGATAAGTTCATGGCGGATAGGTCCATCAATGGCTATTAGCCAGGATGGGCAGGGATGGTGGCCCTAGCCTCTGTTTGCCAGAAGCTGGGAATGGGCAACAGGGGATGGATCACTTGATGATTCCCTGTTCTGTTCATTCCCTCTGGGGCACCTGGCATTGGCTACTGTCAGAAGCCAGGATATTGGGCTAGATGGACCTTTGGTCTGACCCAGTATGGCTGTTCTTATTCTAGTTAATGCATTAACAGAGAGAGACCTGCCTGATGGATTAGGAGGAAACCTCATGTGGAGGACAGATTATCCTATTTGTACTTAAGGGGCAGTTTCTTGCACTTCCCTGTGAAGTGTCTGGTACTGTACTGGCTGCTGGAAGACAGGACACTGCCTTTGATGAGCCTCAGGTCTGAGCATCTGGCAATTGCTATGTTCCCAAGCTCTTCTCTAGTCTAGGACTGAGCTGGCTCTGGAATTTAGATCTGCTGGCAAAGTCCTTCCACTGTTCTGCAAAGGCATTCTGCTTGGTTTCTGTGGTGCTGGCTAGCGCTAGTAAGATGTACTACAAACATTCTGAATTCCTGTTGCTAGAGGCTCATTCTGTCAGGTGCAGTGAAAGTCAGAGCCAGTATTATGTGCATGGCCGTAGGAGCATGTTATGGGCAGCATGCACATGGCTAAGGTTTTGCTTCAGAAAGTTGGACCCTCCCAGTACTTCTAGATGAAAGTGGAAGGGCAGTGTCACCGCAGCGCTGGTCTAGACCCAGGCTAGGGCTGTTCCAAGGGTGAAGTGCTTTTGAGGTTGCCTTGTCTATTTATAGAACTTGCTCTCAGCGAGGTGCTTTCACTGCCTCCTCCAGGCAGCATGGATCGTTTCTAGCTGGAACCAGGGGACCTTCAGCTGTAGCACAGCCCCACACCTACAGATGCTTTTACCACCCGCCTAAGGGGCACAGAGCCCCTCTCCCCACAGTTGGTGTGTGATGCATTCCCACGGGGCCAGGCTAGGGCCCACTCTTCTGTACTATCTGCAGACTACGGGTAAATAGCATCCTACTAGACAGCCCTTGAGCTTAGCTGCATATTCTAGTGAGGGCAGGATCGAGCCAGGGCAGGAAAGTTCTACCAATTTTGCTGTATTAACCACACACAAGGATTGATTTGTGAACAGCAGCAGCATGAGAGCAATCCAGCAGCTGACAGGATCACCTCACCCCAGCTGGGAGCAAGGTGCACTGACACCAAGGGGATGGCCAGTCTGATGAGCACAAGGCAGCCTCAGGGGTTCTCACAACACGTTTTGGTGACCTCAGAGTGCAGCCACTAACTCTTGCTGGTGGCCGCTCTGACATTTTCCTAAAATATTTAACTTTAGGAAAAACAAATAAATACACACATGTCCAAATCTTTGTCACTGATGGATGTGGGCGTTTTTGCAGACTCAATAATAAAAATGTATTTTTGTGCCTTTGGTCCCCACTGGCTCCCCACCCATCACCTCTGGCCCCCAATGACTCTCCCTGCTCCCCCACCCCCTTAGGCCCCCACTGCCTCTCCATCCTCACCTGGGTTCCCACTGCTTCCCCCCCTCCATTGCCAAGCTCCCTTTCGCAGCCTTGCACTCCAGCCTCACCCCACTCCTTGCCGCTTGACTAGAGGCCAGCCCTGCTGAAGCCCAGAGCCCCACGGCTGGATCTGGGGTGGGAGGCTGAAGCCCGGAGCCCTGCAGTTGAAGCTGTGGGGGAGGGGTGCTGAATCATGGATCCCACTGCCAGGGTTAAGCTTGCCCCCAGAACCCTGCAGCTGAAAGGGGCGGGGGGGAGTTAAGCCCATCACCAGAGCCTCTGGCTGAACCCCCTGGTAGCCACATTTGAGAAATGCTGCTCTAGAACACCACAGCGCAGGTATCACTGCCTGGGCCGGCCCTTTCCATCTCACAGGCATGGACAGCCAGGGTAGAGCTGGGGCTGCCTGCGACACAAAGCAATTGGTGCAAGAACAGCCAGAATCGAGCACAATTTTGTTTTTATTTTAAATCAATGACATAAGCAAGGAAAAAATTGCACATTCACACTAAAAATCCCCACCAGCTGCACCAGGAATGATCTAAGTTTTCATTTGTAATAAAAAACCCAGGCGCGTCCCCCGTCCCCCCCAACATTCATGTACTGCAGCCCACTCGGGTTTGCAACGCACAGTTCTCACCCAGCTAAAGAGGAAGCCGGGCAGCGGAAGGTCTCTGTGCAATACGCAGATGGGGCCCTTTAGAGCAGTGGCCTGGTCACTAGGCAGCTTTGGTATTTGCGAATCACAGCAGAGAACGGTGGGAGAGCTGAGAAAACTCAGGCCCGGTGTAACTGGGTTCGAGAACGAGGAAAGGGCCATTTACAAACACAAACCCAACCAAGGTACCGCAAAGTGACTCCTTACTGCTGCTACGTTGCTTGGTAGTTTAGAGCACCAGCACTAGAACAGGGCCAGTGTAAAACCAAGCTCAGCCCAGGGTAACACTCTAGGAAGTGTCTGAAGCAGCCCACCGGTCTGTGGTGGTACCTGGACCCTATTACTTCTTCCTACCCTGGTTCTTTCACTGGACTAGCCTGAAAGAGGCTTCAAAGTAAACCTCCACGCCCTGAAGACTGATTATGAACATGGTTTGTTTCAGGGCACAAACCACAGCTAGGGGCTCTTTTGAGCTGCTGATAATTTGTTCCATAAATACATACCATCAGCCCACCCTTGTTCTGTTCGACTCTTCCACCAGCCCCAGCAACCTGCCTCAGATGTGGACCACCAAGACAGCCTGGAGATCAGCTCTGAAATGCCTTGTGCTGCATTGGTGTGAACAGGGCCTCAGACGCAATATACTCCCAACAGAGTTTAACTAGCCTGCAGGAGCCCGGCTGTGTCTGAGGAGCAAGAGGCCTCCTCCTTATATTCTGCTGCAGGGTGTTAGAATTGCAGTAAGTTACACACCAATGCAGCATAACACATGGCCAGAAAACTAATACGTGGCCTCTGCCTCGTACGTCACCTCTAGCCGAGCACCGCCAGGACTGAAGGTAGATGGGAGGCTGGGCAGAATGGGTTTGTGGTGGAGGAAAGTCAGCTGAGGTAACCAGATGGGTGGTTCCCTCCCGGCCTGTCTCGAAGGAATACAGGAGTGTGGGAGCAGGCCTGCCAGCAGAGTGCATAGCAGCTACCGACACCTACCTGAGCTTAGCTTGCTGGTTGACACTGAACTACTCCCCTTTCTTCTGGATAGGAGCAGCAATTCTCGTCTCTAAGCCAGTGAGCAAAGACACCCGCTTACAAGGCCGGCACGAACCAACAGCCACAGATTAGTCACAGCGTGTCAGAGCCAAACTGCCCCAATTCCCAGTGTCACCCCACATGACAGCACATGAGCCCAGACGGCTCTGCTGGGGGCGGGGGTTCGGGAGCAGTTTTACGGTACGAGCCCCTTCACCTGATTTTCCAAACCTGTGCGAAGAGTCCGACTGAAACGAGACTCCAGCAAGGCCGGGCTGGTGCTATGTACATGGCTGGGCAGTGCCCCTTAACCGGGCAGAGCTCCGCCACGGCCCACTACGGCTGCTTTGGTATCCTAGGGAACGGCTGGAGACAAATAGCCCACCACCAGGCAGCTACAGCCCTGCGAAGGGGCAGGGGTGAGTGCAGTACACCCCCACCCCGCACACTCGAAAGGAAGCCACCTCCCAGCTGCTAGAGCCCAGAGACTTTCCACCCATGTCCCACCTCCCCAGCCAGGAGAGGCTCATTGTTCCTGGTAGAAAACAATAAAAACCCCCAACTCTCTCGGACGTGCAAGAGCTCCTAAGCCTCAGTCTCAAGGAAAAATAAAAAAAGTTTAGTCACATCCACATACATCACATTATAAAAGAAGTAAGTACATTTCATGTAACATTGACTGTCAGGGGAGGAGCAGCTCCTGCCAGCAGGAAGAGAATGCACCCACTCGAACAGAGCAGGCCAGCCCTTCCTGCCCCACGGGCTAGCTGCCCTTCCCGGCTGCTAGCCCAGCCTGCCATGGCTGGCAGGGGGTTCCAGGCCTACAAGGGACCACTTCCTCCTCCCCAGAGGTAACTGCACAGCTAATCCTAGTCGACAGCTTTGAACTTTTGACCACCTCAGTGAACCAAGCTTGAAGGAATTCAAAGGCAATTTAGCTTAAATATAAAAATAAATTTTTATTTTCTTAAAAAATGTTTAAATATCTGTTAATTTAGGATTCGGCAGACACACACTCACACCTCTGAGTAGTAAAAAGATCTGGCAGCCAGAGTCACTCTTGGAACGTGGGGGGGTCAAAGGGGCCTAGGCCTTGGGGTGTCAGCCCCTCTCCCCGAGGCACACAAGGCGTCCTCCCAGTGAGAGCTCCCCAGAGGCTGCGGGCAGTAGAGGGAATAGAAGCCCTGGCCCTCTCCCCTCCGAGCTCCAAGATACAGGGCAGCCCCGTGAGCGCTCCCCGCTGGCTGGAAATGAGCACCCAGCCCCTGGAGCCGGGCTAAGGGAGGAGCAGGGGGCAAGAAGCAGAGTCCTAAGCGTGTCAGTTGGGGATTCTTTCCCTTTAGTGGCTTCGGGCAGGGCCAACAGCCCCGTGCAGCCCTAGGCAAGCCCGGCACTGAAGGGACGTGTGCTACACACCCCTGGCTGGGTAACGAGAGCCGGCTGGGTTTGACACAGGGAGAGAAGAGCTAGACTTGGAGCGGGGCAGGACAGCAAAGAGGCTGCCAGCCCGGGACCTAGGGAACCCTTCCAGCCCCCTGCACCCCGAGGGCCCTGTGCCCCCCCACGCCCCAGGCTGCCATCCTTTCAGTCATCACATTTAAGATACAGAGTTCACGCAGCACTAGTAGCCACACAATGATGCTACTCTCAACACCCAATTAGGCAGGGCGCATCCCCCACTAGGAGACAGCCTCCCCGCAAAATCTTTACACAGCAAATCCGGCATTACCAACATGCCGCCACTCACACGGTTCAATTCTTCCTCCAAGCTCGATTCAATGAGCGAACAAACAGGAGCAAACATACAAAGCGCACAACAGACAGGAGCAGGGAAAGCTACAGGAGCATCACGATGGGAGAGGGCAGTAAGTGGCAGCGTCCCACCTCCTCTGGGCAGGGGTTCTGCTCATTCCCGGGCCAGGCAGAACACGTCTGGTGCACCAAAGGCACCACCCTCCTGCTCTTCCGGATGCAGAGGCTAGGTTACCCCTGCAATGGGCTGGGTTCCCGAGCAGAGGCAAGACGCTGAGTTGCAGGGTCTGCATAGGAGCACTGAAAGGCAGATTGCTCACAGCGGGAGCTGGATGATGGTCTGTCTGGAGCACCAAGAGTTACTCCCTAACACACAGGGACTTGGGCCCATCCCGCCTACTAGATTTGCCCAGGCCAGATGGCTGGCAAGCCAGTACCTGCCAGTTCAAACCAGAGGCTGGAGTCCCTTAGGAGGAGGGGAGAGGTGCATTTACCAGGTCATGAGATCACCGTGCAGGGAAAGGCCTCTGGAGCCAGCGAAGACACCCCCCTCCAGGGCCAGCAGCCACGAGGCAGACTGGGAACGCATCTGCCTGGAGGGAAGAGCCTCGCTTACAGCAAAGCTACAAGGGGGAATGCAGGGACACAGCAAGCCAAGGAACAGAACGCGGGTTTCCATTCAGGCACAGACAGGGAACGTGCATATGGGCACCTCCCCTTGCCCCCCGCCAGCTCCCACTCCACACGCTCGGTACATGGTGGATGGGCAAGGCTGAACGGTCAGTATGGTCAGGAGAGCACAGGCGCAGCTAGATGAAGCCATGGAGAAAGTACACATTGTGAGCGAGCCCTGGAGAAATAAGGGAGGAAAGGAACGCTGCTGCTATGTACAGAGTTTATCCAGTCTCGGCTGTGGAACTGTTCAAGTACGAAGGGTTTGGTTTATCCTGTCCTGCGTCGGAGTCGCTGCCCCCCAGAAGTGTCTCCAACCGATTTCAGAAACGAGCGCCTGACCCGAGGGCCCGGGCTCCTTGTCAGAAGGGTTACTCAGAACTCGGATATCCTTGGCTCAGGTGGCTGGGCCGGAACTAAGATCCAACAGAAGACCCAAGAGGCTACTTTTTGCGGGGGTGCTGCCTTCGCGCCTGCAGCCGCTGACGGGGCCCAGTCTTGGATCCTGCCCCGATAGAAAACGCAGGGGTTGATGGTCCTAGAGGCGAGAGAGATTGCATGAGCGACTGCCAGCCTTTACCCTGTCTGTCTGACGTGGACACTGCTACACAAGAAGCCCATTGCAGCATTAACTTCCCAGGGGCCTGTGAACGTGAGCGCACTATCACATTGCTAAAGTGAAGCAATGAACTCTCCTCCAGTCTAGCTCACCCCTCCACCCCCCAAACAGAGAACCGAGGTTCTGTTTCCAAGGGGGATGCGGTCCTCCCCCCGACCCAACCTTCCCCACCATCCCAGGGAGCAGGCAGAGAGGCAAAGGCTGTCTTCCAGGACTGGCTGTCAGAGATGTATTTCTAGCCATCCAACAGCCAGCCCACAGACACTCACCTCTGGGAGCCTGTCTGAAGTCAGTGCAGCCCACAGCAGGCTCTGCTTTGGGGGCAGGGCTCCTACTGACACCCCAACCACCGCCCCGTGTTGCAGGCCTGGGGGAAGAGGAAGCCATGTCTCTTACCAAATGGAGGCCTTGCTCCTCCGAAGCCCGACCCAGGAGTGCTGGGGGTCCCGAAGGAAAGGCTGTTGCTCCCGACAGGCCCTGCTCCTGGAGCAGGCGTGGTCTGCCCAAAGGAGGGAGTGGGAGTTCCTGAAAACAACACACCACTGTCAGCCTTGGCTAGAGGAGCAGGATGGGGAGTCTGTGTCAAGGCCACAGCAGGATCGGAGCCTGTGTACTTTGGGGAAGCTTCTGCTCCAGCGTGCAGGGGTGGGGGGTACAGCTCAGCCAGGGGAAGAAGGAGAAGATGAGAACAGACTGCACAGATCCTACAGGAAGGGCTGGAACATCCCCACCCAGCCTCCCAACAGGCAGAGGTGATGTGCACTCCCCCAAGCCCCAGAGGGTTCCCATTTCCCCCTTTCCCAAGGCGACAACCTCCCCGCTCCCCCTGAAAGACTTGAGTTCCTGCATCTCCCATCGACTCCCTTCCTACTTCCTGAAGCCTCCATTCAGCAGACCCATGAGACAGAACAGACTGGGACTCGCAGAGTCTGGGGGGAGCTTACTCTACTGGCTGGGGAGGAAAACCTTTGTACATTAGAAGAGTGACCCCAGCCCACTCCTTCCCCAGCGGAGCTGAGCTATGTGGATGCAGCCCTCGCAGACACACTGCTAGAAGCCGGAGTGGTCCCTGGTCTATGCAAAGACTGGAAACGCAGTCATCTGGGATTCTCCTGATCCCAAGGAATGGCTCATGGCAGAGGGGCAAAATATCAACAGCGCCAGCCCTAAGTTTAGAGGGATGAGGAATAAAGGGAGAATAAAGCACAGCAAGGTCACTGCCTAGATCCACTCAAGCCTCCCACTTCCTCCCCAATGAGAGGCCCAGCCTTCGACCCAAGCAGGGCTAAGCAGACTTTCCTCCCCTGCACCTTACCTCCAAACACAGGCTTGCTGTCAGGAGTGCCAGGCACAGCGAAGGCGAATGGCGCGCTCTGGTTTTGGCCACCCAACGTGTTCTGTGTCAAGGAAGAACCAAAGGGGGTTGCTGTGCTTGCCGATCCGTTCTGTCCAGCCCCAAAATTGAATGCCACGGAGGGGGTGCCCCCGCTCAGGGCAGACGCTCCCATGGCAAAGGCACTGGCACCAGTGCTCTGCTGGTTGGACACCCCAAAGGGGAACGGAGAGGGGGTGGTTCCGCCAAATACCATGCTACCTGTACTGCTCTTTGTAGGCTGGGTGTTGGAGCCAAAACTTGATGCGGTTGAAGTGGTGGCTGTTCCAAAGGAGAACACTGATGTAGTGCCTCCAAAAGCTGGCTGGGAGCTGTTGGTGCCAAAGGAAACTTGGGTATTAGTCCCTCCGAAAACTGGCTGGGAGCTGTTCCCAAACGCCGGCGGTGCCGCGGAGGCCCCAAAGCCGAAAGCGGGGGTACTAAAGCTCGCGGGGCCAGCGGCAGGTTTGCTGGTGGGCTGCTGACTCTCCGGGGTGCCAGTGGCAAACGCAGGCTGACCAGCTGCACCAGGATACGGAGGGGGCGGTTTTGCACCTGTTCCAAAGGAACCACCAAATGCAGCAGTGGAGGAACCAAATGACAGCGTTGACTGACTGGTGGTTGGTGGGGTAGAAGAGGTCAGATTTGTGCCCCCAAAGATACTAAAGCCAGCAGTGGTGCTGGGAGCAGCCTGTGCTGCATTCAAGGGTGCTGGGCCGAAGGTGGAGCCTGCTGGAACGCTGGGAGTGGGGGCGGTGGGGGCTGCAGGCTTTCCAAACTGGAAGATAGGACCGGTAGGCGTGAAGCTTGCTGCTGTGCTGGGGGCGGGGTTTGGAGAGGCTCCGAACAGGAACGGCTGGGTTGCTCTGGTGGAGATGGGCGCAGTGACAGTTGTGCTGTTGGCTGCATTGGTGGCGAGTGGCACGCCAAGTCCAAAGCTGAAGGCTGGCTTCGTGGTGGCGTCAGTGGTGGCACTCAGGGTGCTGGCAGCGGTAGCTGCAGTAGTAAAGACAGCACTGGGGAGGCCGGTGAAGACAGAGGTGGTGTCTGTAGTGGAAGCTGCTGTCAGATCAGCAGCTGGGGCTGGCTGAGGTGTCTGCTTCAATGTGAAAGGAGACGCTGTTGCTATAGGTGCAGCAGCAGCTGCTAAGTTCCCAAAGACGGGCTTGAATGTGGCGGTGGTGGCGGAGGAAGACGCTGTCGAGGGAGGCACAGAGCTGGTAGATGCTGCGACTGCCAGAGAGGTGCCAGCTGCAGAGAGCGCCACGCTCTCGCTTTTTGGCAGGGTGCCAAAGATGGGTTTGAACATGGGGGTGGCTGCGGGCGCGGCGGATGCTGCCGCTGGTCCAGGCTGGCTGGCTGGCGGTGTACTCAGCATCCCAAAGAGAATGCTGGGTTTAGGGGGGGAGGGCGTCTTGGTGGGGGTCTGGCCCAGGTCAGATGAAGCAGGAATCGTCAGGTTGCTCACACTGCTGGCAGGCGGAGCAGTGGAGGAGGGAGGGGCCAAGGGATCCAGCAAGTTTAGTGTTGGAGCAGGCTTGGAGTCAGACACAGTTGCAGGGAGTGAACCTGAATCCAGCAATACCGTGGGAACTGTCAGAGGCAGCTGAGAGGTCACTGCAGCCCCAGTCGAATCTGTGGAAGAGAGAAAATCATTTACAGATGAACAGATGGCTTATTACCAGAGTTTGATTTGTGTGATGAAGGAAGTCGACTTGGTGGGCTGGGAGAGATGATCAAGTTGCCACCAAGACAGACTTACCGGGAGCAAAACCCCAGACCCAAACAGAGCACTGCTCTGCGTGACGAGGTGAGCCACCAAGTTAGAACCCTGAGGGCTTCCCCTAGAGTCCCTCCTGCGCCACTCTTGTTCCACTCTGGGTTGGAGAGGTGTTATGGATGCACTAAATCAAATGCCATTTGGGATTTCCTGCACTCAGCTGTTTATAAGCTGTGTCAGGGAGAAGCAACATTGCAACTCCCAGCCGGGACTGACTAGTGACCCCCAGAGGCCATTCCCACTGCTCTCCCATCTCCCCTCACCACACTAGAGCCCCATGAAGCGCTAACCTGAAAGCACAAGAGCACTCTGCCTGCTCTGCATCTTCTTCAGACTCTCCAGGAGTGACCCAGTGCCGGCGACCAGGGGGGGCGATGAAACAGATGTAGGCCCAGTAGATGGCAGTGTGAATGACACAGGCCTGGATGCAGGGGTGGTTTCTGCAGCAGTGCTTGGGGTGGCATCTACTGCTGGGAAGCAAGAAAAACAACATGCTTAGACAGTTTGCTATTAGCAGGGCTTCCCAACTATGCAGGGGCAGCTACAGATGGAACCAGACCCTGACCAAGTGACTTTAGGAGGACAGTCCACATTCCTGAAAAGATCCAAGGACTTCACCCCCACTCCAGGATCTGGAGGACTCACATAAAAGCCCCAAGTTTGCGGGGTGGGGGGGGTAAGGGGTCATTCATGAAGTTCTCCTCAGGACCCAGAGTAGCAGAAAATCTAACTTCATTAGCCGCTGGGAGAAGGCAACTCTCTGGGTATGATGCATGACTCACATGGTGATGTTCTCTGGCCTGTGTTACACAGGTGACCACACCAGATGACCATAATTAAGGTTAAGATTTTGTCTGGGTTATTTTTAGTAAGGTCACAGTCAATAAACCATTCATAGAAGCCCGAGGCCCGCACCGCCCAAGCCCCGCGCCGCCTGGGGCTGAAGTTGCAGAGGTCACTAAAAGTCATGGAATCCGTGATGGACTCGTATCCTTAACCATAATGGTCCCTTCTGGCCTTGGACATCTATGGGATGGGTGTTTCCTTCAGTTTCTTGCTTACAGCATTAAGTTACTGTAAGTATCCTACTAACCGCACCTTCTAAATGAGAGGGGGTCCTTACCCGTCTTATCCTCCAAGACTTTGTTGAACCATTGCAGTGCTGCCTTCTTTTCTGCGTCCAAGTCCTCTGCTGTGACAGCATAACCCAGCTGAGGGGGTGGGGGCTGCCAAGGGAAGAACAACAGCGTGAGCTTAGTCCCTTCCTCAAAGAGGCAGGCAGAACCCAGCCAAACTCATGGTAAAGCCACTGAGCAGCAACTGCTATAAAGCAGAGTCTGCCACTCAAATCCCTACTCCTCTGTTTTGCCCACTAATTGCACATGGTCTGGGGTTGTTTTTAGCTTGGTGCTGAGTGGGCCAGAGTATTGCCCAGGAAAGGCCCAGCAGTAAGCAGCTCCCCAGACACCAGGAGCTGGGGTTGGCTTCACTTCCCATCCCACAAAGGGCAGGTGCTCCTATCCCTAGGGCAGCCAGGTTAGGCTTCCCCCCACTCCTGGAGGACCTACAGCAGGGTATTCCACTGCCAGAGGTGCCCAGGAAGGGCTACATGGAGGCAACGTACCAGGGTAAGCTGGTCTCCTCGGCGAGAAGAAAGCAGCTGGATCTTCCGCTTGCGTTTCCCACTGCTCCCCGACATGGACGGTGAGGTCAAGGAACTCTGCTTCTTCCGCACAGGAGTCTCCAAAGCTAGTATGGGAGGAACCAATCAAAAGTGGGGATTCCAGATGGAGGAGGGGGTCAGTTCGCACACCCTGTCATAGGAACTTGCTTACCGATGCTTTCACCGCCCTTCTGTCAGAGTGGGGGGAGGGGGAAGAGACACTTGCCTCCAGATAACCCTGCCTCGAGCACAGAGCCACAGACAGAGGGCCAAGCTGAGTACAGGACCCAGGGTTCCTGGATGAATGGCTGGCCACACCTGCAAACTGAGGAGGCAGCTTGTGCGAAGACTCCCAGGGATGTGGACCAGACTGCTCCAGGACGTGCTCCTGCTTACATTGAAGAGCCCATTCAGTAACTCCGAGCAGCTGTCCACATCCTCTCAAAGTGCTCCACTAACCAACAGACAAACCAGACCTGAGGCTCCTCTTCTATCACCCACACTCAGCCCGCAGTGGGGTGAAGCCTGGGAGCTGTTTAACCACTTAGGACAGCAAATGATGAACACTGTTCAATTTAACCAGCAAGAGGAAACAGGGAGGGGCCTAGCATTGCTCAGCTTGGAACCTGGTGGAGACGCATCGTCCTGTCCCCTCTGCTGTGCCTTGTACCTACTTACCCCGTTTCTAGATCACATTCAAATCTTACTGCCAGAGAAGGTTCTAACTTTTGCCTCCTCTTACTCTCCAGCAGCCTTTCCTTTACAAGGCAGCTGCAGAGCCTGAGCCAAACCGGCATCCCCAGTGGCTTTGCAAGCCCTACCCTGTCCCCACTCACCCTTTTCTGTCTGCAGCTCCTTGTCAGATTTTACAGGGGTAGAAGTGCTGGACCAGTGAGCATCCTCCTCCCTGCAGAGACAGGAGAAAGCCCGTTAGGCCCAGTTCACACCGACGCACCTCCTCTCTGACAGCTGCAAACATTTCAGGACAGATTTAACACAACCCACGAGCCATGAATGATCATCTTGAAAGCCACAAGCAAAATACCCAACCACTGGTAAGACCAGTGCCTTGAGCACAGCGCTGCCTCTAGCCCAGTTTGACAGTGCCTGGAGACAAAAGGCGAACACTCGTGCGCCACAGCTTGGGACAATGGAGAGGTCTGGCATATCAGCAAAGGAAGAATTGCACACAAACCCTCCAGCACTTTGCAGAGGCAAAGCTAACCTCAGAGCATCACTGAGGGGCCCACGTTTTGCTGGCCTGTGAGTCATTTTGCTTTAGACCCAAACATTCACAGTGAATATTCTGGGAAAACAGCCTGTTTCAACATTTGTTTTACGACGGATGTGCCACACACTCTGACTGCACACACACACACACCCCCTTGCTGAAGAGGGATGAGCACTAAGACTGGAAGTAGACAGGTGCCTCTGTATCCCTTGGATAGCTATGTCGGAGTCCTTAGGAGCAGCAGAGGTGGGCGTTAGTTAACGAAATGGCAATGGGCCCTTTCTTCTCTCCCAGCCCCAGACATGGGAACAATCCAGGTCAAGGAAATGGGCAAAAGCAGCAGGTTGTGCTCAGCATGGGAAGTCACCAGCCCGGTAACCCGTATCAGCCGCAGGGCAGGCAGGACACAGTTACGGACACTGGAGAATGGAACGAGTGCAATGCCTCCTTAGGCCGCCAGCAGGAAGACAAGGGAGAGTAGAGTTAGCCAGACTTCAGGGGACAAGACGGCTTGGAAGGAAAGGGTTGGCGTGCCCCAAGGTGGGTGGCTTACACAGAGCTTAAGACTTGGGGAGAGAGAAGAGGGCAGTCCGAAACGCCTCACCAGCCCCACCTGGGCATGCCTTGCCCCCTCCCGACTGGAGTCTGCACGCAGGATACCACTAGAACGATACCCCCAACATCTGTTTAGACTGAATCAGCAACGAACGCGAGCTGCACTGAACTGGAAGCACAGCTTGGTTACCTGGCTTTCTTGCTAGGCCTCTCCGGTGTCTGAGAGCGGGAAGATGCCGGACTGGAGAGAGGGGAAGTATTCAGGCCACTTCTCTTCCACAGCTGGAACCCAGAGAGAGAGACAGACCATTAAAAGGTAAGTCACACCAGGAAGTTAAATGCCCTGTGTTCCTGGCCAGCCCCACAGGCTGTATTGGTCCCCTTTGTAAGGAATAAAGCAACAATGATCTGGCTGGTGAAGAGACTAGAGCCTTAGGATATGTGTATGCTGCAATTAGACACCCCTGGCTGGCCCGTGCCAGGTGACTTGGGCTCACAGAGCTGTTTATTTGTGGTGGAGAGGTTAGGGAGTGGGCTGCAACCAGAGCTCTGGGGCCTCCCACTCTGCAGGGTCCTAGAGCCTGGGCTCCACAGTCTGAGCCCGAATGTCAACACCACAATTGCCTCTTAGCTGGAGCCCTCAGAGCCTGAGTAAGCGGCACAGGCCTGCCGCAGGTTTTTCACTGCGGTGTAGACATACCCTAGACCCATGAGCACACATCGAGTTACTCTGGCAAGAGCAGGCTGTGTTCTCAGCAACACCGCACAAGATACCGTCACTCCTACCTCATTGACTGTAGTGTTTTTCCATTGAAAGGGACACATTTCAGGTGAGACTGAACCTAGGGAACATTTCCTACAGGAATCGTAACAGGAATGGCCATACTGGGTCACAGCAATGGTCCATCTAGCCCAGTATCCTGTCTTCTAACAGTGGCCAGTGCCAAATACTTCAGAGGGAATGAACAGAACACGGCAATTATCAAGTGATTCATCCTGTCGTCCAGCCCCCGTTTCTGGCAGTCAGAGGCTTAGGGATACTCAGAGCATGAGGTTGCATCCCAGACCATCTTGGCTTACAGCCACTAATGGACCTATCCTCCATGAACTTATCTAATTCCTTTTTGAACCCTGTAATAGTCTTGGCCTTCACAACATCCCTTGGCAATGAGTTCCACAGGTTGACTGTGCGTTGCGTGAAGAAATACTTCCTTTTGTTTGTTTTAAACATTCTACCTGTTAATTGCATTGGGTGAGGCCTGGTTCTTGTGTTATGTGAAGAGGTAAATTACACTTCCTTATTCCCTTTCTCCACACCATTCATGATCTTGTAGATCTCTATCATATTAGTCATCTCTTTTCCAAGCTGAAAAGTCCCAGTCTTTTAAATCTCTCCTCATATGGAACCTGTTCCATACCCCTAATCATTTTTGTTGCCCTTTTCTGTATCTTTTCCAAATCTAATATTTTTTTTGATGGGGAGATCAGAACTGCATGCGTTATTCAATGTGTGATTTTCCCATGGATTTATTTTAAAAAGGTTTGATGCCCAGGGTCCCCTCTGGCTCAGGAGACAAGGAGGTACAAAAGAAAGAGGGTAGGACAGCAGCAGTTAAGCCCGCACAAGGATAGGCAACTAGCTAGTAAAGTTCAGTTATCTGCTCTTATAAGAACATAAGAAAGGCCCTACTGGGTCAGACCAAAGGTCCATCTAGCCCAGTATCCTGTCTACCGACAGTGGCCAGTGCCAGGTGCCCCAGAGGGAATGAACAGAACAGGTCATCATCAAGTGATCCATCCCCTGTCGCCCATTCCCAGCTTCTGGCAGACAGAGGCTAGGGCCACCATCCCTGCCCATCCTGGCTAACAGCCATTGATGAACCTATCCTCCATGAACTTATCTAGTTCTTTTTTTTCCTGTTATAGTTTTGGCCTTCACAACATCCTCTGGCAAGGAGTTCCACAGGTTGACTGTGCATTGTGTGAAGAAATACTTCCTTTTATGTGTTTTAAACCTGCTGCCTATTAATTTCATTTGGTGACCTCTAGTACTTGTGTTATGAGAAGGCGTAAATAACACTTCCTTATTTACTTTCTCCACACCAGTCATGATTTTATAGACCTCAATCACATCTCCCCTTAGCCATCTCTTTTCCAAGTCCCAGTTTTATTAATCTCTCCTCATACAGAAGCCGTTCCATACCCATAACCATTTTTGTTGCCCTTTTCTGAACCTTTTCCAATTCCAATATATCTTTTTTGAGGTGGGGCGACCACATCTGCACACAGTATTCAAGATGTGGGTGTACCATGGATTTATACAGAGGCAACATATTTTCTGTATTATCTATCCCTTTCTTAATTATTCCCAGCATTCTGTTCGCTTTTTTGACAGCCGCTGCCCATTGAGTGGATGTCTTCAGAGAACTATCCACGACTCCAAGATCTTTTTCTTGAGTGGTAACAGCTAATTTAGACCCCATCATTTTATATGTATAGTTGGGATTATGTTTTCCAATGTGCATTACTTTCATTTATCAACATCGAATTTCATCTGCCATTTTGTTGCCCAGTCACCCAGTTTTGAGAGATCCCTTTGTAACTCTTCACAATCTGCCTGGGACTTAACTATCTTGAGTAGTATCAGCTGCAAATGTTGCCACCTCACTGTTTACCCCTTTTTCCCCTTATGCTGCATCAGCAATTTTACAGTCCTGTCTGATGACAAAGGAGTCATTTCAACACCTTTTTTTTGTTGTTGTTGTAAATTATCAGTTGCTTAAGAGCCCTGGATCAAAGCTGAAAATGCTGGACTCAAACATTAGCCAACTGCAGCCTGAAAGAGGGTGGCATGACAGGAGAATGGTTCTGATTTTACGTTTTGTTTTACCTAGAACAATCCAAATTGAGCACCATCCAACTGAAACTAAATCATAAGGAAATCCTAGTGTGTTCTGGTCTGTTTGAGGGGGCTCTATTCCATGACACCCCTTGGCTTTAGCCAATGCTGGAGGATGGCGAAGCACTGCCTCCTGGTGGGCATTTTGCAGACAGGCAGTGGCTACAGTTTACATTTTGCTTGAGATGCTCTGTGGAAGGTGTTTGTGCTGCATGAAGCTGGAGAAAGACTACTCAGGTTTACTGCCAGGCACCTGGCAATGGTGCCTTATTCTCATAAGGCCATGCCACCCCAAACCACCGTGTCTCCTGTGAATTCCAGGTGTTTTATTAGAAATGCTGTGACCTACCTTCGAGAGTCCCCGGGTGGAGCTGTAGGAGCTAGCGATGGCATTGCGGATGGAGCTGGGAATCCCACCAGCATATGTGTTGTTCATGGAGCTGATGGAAGAAGTGCGCGATCTCTTGCTCAAGCAATCATCTAGGCACTGGGAAACGAGGGCCCTCTTCAAAGTGCCTGGCCTAGAGAAAGAGGGAGAGAAAGTTACTAATGAAGCTAAGTAAATCACTGAATTTTCAGTTTGGGGGCTGAACCAAAAAAGTTTGTTTTGATTTGAACCAAAGCTGAATTTTTTGTTTTTCTCATCACAACAAAAAAAACGGAGAGTCTCATCTCAGGCGTTTGTCTCATTTCACACAAAAATGTTTTATTCTCAGGTGTTTAGCACTTGATGTTTTGTTTAGAGATTTAACTATTAAAAAAAAACAGCTTTGACTGTCAAGATTTTCCATTTTTCCTGGCTGAAACTATTCACTGAATTTAACTTAAATTCACACACAATTTTGGTGCCCTGAAAAATGTGTTTTTCAGTTAATACTATTCACCAAAAACACAGTTTTGCCCAGTTCTAATTTCATGCAATCCCCAAATCCACGTGTTGGGAGTCTCCCACCCAGCCCCTCTCTCTGATGGGTTAGTCTGGATGGTTTTTTGAGGGAGGGGCAGGGTTTTCAGTTTTCCTTTTTCAGCTTGTGCAACCGAGATCTTGACAAGGGGGCTGCCAGCAGCACAGGCCAAGCTCCACTCCATACAGAGAAAATCCAGCACAGCACTGGCCACCTCCCAGAGGTCTGTTCTCCCCCAGTCAGGGTGCAGAGCTTGGGTCACAGGACAGGAACCCCAGCTCTAGCCCTGCACTTCAGGAAGGAAAGGCCCAGTGCTTTTTCCTCTGGCCTCCACGCGACTGGCCAAGTCTGCAGAGCCTTTTCGCTTTGCCCTTTAGCCAACACTAGACCCTTTACAGTTTGACAGGCACTTACTTGGGTACCAGAGAAGCTGGGGCTCCATTGGCTACCAGAGGCTCAAACGCAGACTGCCCACTGCCACTGCTGTCATGGCGTCTGCAAGAAAAAGACATGAGGAAATCCTCAGCATTCAGAAGGACCCACACAATCCAGCAATCTGAGGAAAATCTCCACTCTGAAACCCAGAACTCCTACATCCCACCCATTGCCCTAACTAGACCGACCGCCCCACCCATGTTTTCATCTGGAAATCAACACTGACAGAATTCTGTTTTCATGAAAACGTTCAGAAGTTTTAGTTTTTGTTCCAAGGTGGAATGAAAACAAATGTCAAAACCTTGGAAGTTGCCTTGAAACAGAATCGTCATCCTCTGGTCAGTTCTACTGCCAAGCTTGACTGCATTTCTCTCAAGTGCAAGCCACACCAGGTGCTGCCCACGTGCCAGGCATAACCGCTGGCAGCACAAAGGCGGCCTCAGAGTGTTGGTACTAAGATAGGATGTAGCTGACACGAGTCACTGAGCAGTGAGCTTTCTGCCTACATAGCCAGCGGGGGAGCGTGAGGAGGTTAAGTGCTTTGAAATGGGTTACTGTTACACAGCTGTGGAGCCAATGTCAGAAAGGAGAATAAAGTGTCAACATCCATGCTCACCCTCTACCACTCTTTATAGGATCGTATTCATCCTGTGTCCCCCGCCACACACACCTTGGGAGGCGGGACCAGACATTCACCAGTCCAAGCAATGGGAGAGGAGAAAGCTGCATAAGCCACTACAACTCCAATTGAAAGTGTGCTCTTGCAGCAGTGGGAAAAGCAACTGGTTGCTCCCTGAAAGCCACTCATCACCCGGGCTCTCAAACTGACATCTAACAGTGGGGTCAGGAGCAGCATACAGGATGACAGACTCAAACAGTATCTCATGAGCCCAAGCTTCTCTTCTCTGGTTCTCTCGCACTCAATTCATCTGCAAGAGCCCATATAACCCAGCCCCAATGGACTTCCCCACTGCAAGCAGCCTGCAGCCCCATGGCAAGCAAGGGACAGACATGGGGAGCCACAAGACAAATTAAACCCACACAGACAGAAATGGACAGAAGGAAAACAGCTGTGCTAGGGCAGTTGCAGGAGGGCTCCACCAGAAAGACGATGGCATCCACTGATTTATATCCTACTCCTTCCTAAAATCCTGGGGAAAGATACTGCTGCAGCTATGTGTCTGAGACCTAAGGTCTGGTGTTCTCATTAACCTTAACAAATGGAAACTGGGGAATATTTTCCCCCATCATTTCTTGAAGGAAAAACACGCATGCTTTTTTGCTCACTGAGATATATAAAGGAGATCTCAACAGATTTTAAATGGTCATGTTTTGTTTACATCAGAAATTCAGGACACGTGTATCCCATTTCTCTCCAAAGACTGAGGCTGACTGGAGAACCGATTGGTTTATGATAAAAATAATATGGAAGCGAGACCTGGTGAAGTGAGAGGAAGGGGTGGTTATGTTTAAATGGAAGTTAATAAACCAGACTTGAGAATCCGAGCAGTTGGAAGTGATTGTTTTAGGATTCCAACTCCTCTACCCCTTCAACCAAGTGCTGAGATAGCCTTCAATCCACACACCAGGCCTCTGTCAAAGACCTCCACCACAGCAGGGCAGACCAGGCTTGGCATTTGAAACTTCCATGACAGAAACCCAAACAGAATGTTTTTCCTCTTCCTCAAAAGAGAAGTCTTCTAGGCTTTCTGAAGGTAATTGGAAGGGCACAGATACCAGATTGCTATTAAAGCTGGTCAGCAAGAGGAAACCAAAGTTCTGTTTCAGATTACTAGCCACACTGGAAAGGCCAGCTGTTTGTTCCCATGTTCACAGCCGGCGTGCTGCCTGTATATCCATTATGAAGATAGTGAAGCACCTGGCACATCTACAGCACTGCTTCAGACACATGAAGCTAGCACCCAGGCCCACTAACTTATTACCTTCTTTTGTTCTCCTGACCACTGGGGAAACTCTGGTCCTCCTCCTCCACAGCCCTCTTCCTGCTCTCTTTGAGGGCACTCAGTACAGTCTCCTTTGCACATGGGTCCAGGGTGCTATTGCATGACAAGGCCATTGGCGAAACCAGCTGCTCCAAGCTGCAATGTAAAGCCATGAGTTAAGGGAGAGTGAGCATCCACCTCCTCCCCATTAGTGGTGCTGCATGTGCTGAGCTCCCCTGCGCCTTGAACCCCAACAGCCCAGCACATCTGAAGACTGGCCCCCCTCTAAAGAAAGAGAAATAATCTAGGCAGCATCACCAATGCAGCTTCAGGACTAGCTTGTGACCTCATAATCCTTTCCATGGCAAGAAAGCGATGCTTGAGATGAGGATTAAAAGGTCACTACAGGGCCATGAGCTACAGACTCCCCCTCAGGGAAGAGCGCATCAAGCGACCAAACGGAAGAGCGAACAACCCATTTTCCCCAAGCAGGCTACTCTCCCCTCTGCAATTAATTAAGGGGAGGTTTTACAGGGCTGTAAGTAGTGTGAAGTGATGCATAAGTGCAACCACCAGTGCGCACACTCCCTCAGTGCATCCAGAGCAAGCCACCACGCAGGAGATAGAATCTGCTTGCTACCAGTAAGTGCCGGATCTGGGAGAAGCAGGGATCTGCAGGTGAGAGGGCCCCTACTACTCTGCACAGCACTCAGTGCCTCTAACACATAAGATACAAGTGTGTTTGTGAGCACTGGCTGTACGCGTGTACCACATGTGCACCACGTGTGCAGTGGGATGCTGAAGGGCCACTAATGACGCTGTACTCACAGTGGAGAGCGGACCAGGTTGCTGTCCGGCCGTGCAATCTTCACTGTCACCGGGCTGTGCACCATGTTGGAGTTGCGAGCAGATAGCAGGCTTTTCCTCTGGTAGCCATCCAGGCATACCGAGGGCAGGGCCCCCAACGAGGAGTACTGGGCCTGCTGAATTGGATACCGGCGCCGAGGAGTCAGTGCAAAGGGAGTTGGTGGAGTCAGGTGATCCCTGCAGAGAAAGAACACAGGGTATAAGTGGCCGGCCAGCTAATGTACCTCTTGCTAAGCCCAAGACACTCCACGCATTGCAAGGGATCAAATGAGTTTAAGCCTATGAAGCTGCAATTATTTGTTGCAAGGAAAAACTAGAAAGGTTCAGAAAAGGGCTGCTTTAGTTATTACAAATAGTTACCCCCAACAATTTGTAAGTGACCAGAATTACACACTATCTACACAGGCGGAGCGTGCATCTCCATACAGCAACGACACACAACAGCAAGAAAATACCATACCAGTTTAAACTTCAAGGAGAATTTAGGGAAGCAAAGTGTGATCAATACTTTGGAATCTAGCCTGGGCACTAAGGCTAACAACCATCCTCTTCCAAAAGCCAGTAACCACAAAGTCATACCTATACTGGCCAAGACGACCTTGGGTAAGAGCAGCATTCTTGCCAGAGGGGTACTAAAACAAGGTGCTCTTGGTCAATATGGACATGGCCTAAGTGATGAGGACCTCAGTTTTTATCTTTCTGTGAATCATCTTGGCTCTGTGACCCTTTCTCAAGAGCAGGAGAGGTGTGAAGGCACTAAATAGTTGAGTTCTTATTATAATTCTGATTAATGCTTTAACATTGTCAGCATCATAGAATATCAGGGTTGGAAGGGACCTCCGGAGGTCATCTAGTCCAAACCCCTGCTCAAAGCAGGACCAATTCCCAACTAAATCATCCCAGCCAGGGCTTTGTCAAGCCTGACCTTAAAAACCTCTAAGGAAGGAGATTCCACCACCTCCCTAGGTAACCCATTCCAGTGCTTCACCACCCTCCTAGTGAAAAAGTTTTTCCTAATATCCAAACTAAACCTCCCCAACTACAACTTGAGACCATTACTCCTTGTTCTGTCATCAGGTACCACTGAGAACAGTCTAGATCCATCCTCTTTGGAACCCCCCTTCAGGTAGGTGAAAGCAGCTATCAAATCCCCCCTCATTCTTCTCTTCTGCAGACTAAACAATCCCAGTTCCCTCAGCCTCTCCTCATAAGTCATGTGCTCCAGCCCCCTAATCATTTTTGTTGCCCTCCGCTGGACTTTTTCCAATTTTTCCACATCTTTCTTGTAGTGTGGGGCTCAAAACTGGACACAGTACTCCAGATGAGGCCTCACCAATGTCAAATAGAGGGGAACGATCACCTCCCTCGATCTGCTGGCAATGCCCCTACTTATACAGCCCAAAATGCCGTTAGCCTTCTTGGCAACAAGGGCACACTGTCGACTCATATCCAGCTTCTCGTCCACTGTAACCCCTAGGTCCTTTTCTGCAGAACTGCTTCCTAGCCATTCGGTCCCTAGTCTGTAACAGTGCATGGGATTCTTCCGTCCTAAGTGCAGGACTCTGCACTTGTCCTTGTTGAACCTCATCAGGTTTCTTTTGGCCCAATCCTCTAATTTGTCTAGGTCCCTCTGTATCCTATCCCTACCCTCCAGCGTATCTACCACTCCTCCCAGTTTAGTGTCATCTGCAAACTTGCTGAGAGTGCAGTCCACGCCATCCTCCAGATCATTAATGAAGATATTGAACAAAACTGGCCCCAGGACCGACCCTTGGGGCACTCCGCTTGATACCGGCTGCCAACTAGACATGGAGCCGTTGATCACTACCCGTTGAGCCTGACAATCTAGCCAGCTTTCTATCCACCTTGTAGTCCATTCATCCAGCCCATATTTCTTTAACTTGCTGGCAAGAATACTGTGGGAGAGTGTATCAAAAGCTTTGCTAAAGTCAAATAACACATCCACTGCTTTCCCCTCATCCACAGACCCAGTTATCTCTTCATAGAAGGCAATTAGGTTAGTCAGGCATGACTTGCCCTTGGTGAATCCATGCTGACTGTTCCTGATCACTTTCCTCTCCTCTAAGTGCTTCAGAATTGATTCCTTGAGGACCTGCTCCATGATTTTTCCAGGGACTAAGGTGAGGCTGACTGGCCTGTAGTTCCCCGGATCCTCCTTCTTCCCTTTTTTAAAGATGGGCACTACATTAGCCTTTTTCCAGTCATCTGGGACCTCCCCCGATCGCCATGAGTTTTCAAAGATAATGGCCAATGGCTCTGCAATCACATCCGCCAACTCCTTTAGCACCCTCGGATGCAGCGCATCCGGCCCCATGGACTTGTGCTCGTCCAGTTTTTCTAAATAGTCCCGAACCACTTCTTTCTCCACAGAGGGCTGGTCACCTTCTCCCCATACTGTGCTGCCCAGTGCAGCAGTCTGGGAGCTGACCTTGTTTGTGAAGACAGAGGCAAAAAAATCATTGAGTATATTACAAACACGCATGGGGGGGGTCCATGCAATCCCCCAATCTCCCCCCTCAACATTCTGAAGAGCCAGCCAGAGTTACAAGCAAGCATCAAGGCCATACTGAGCCCTCTGTCAGTGAAGAGGATTTACAGGTCTTTAAATATTCCAGTGCAAAGCAGTAATCATCCACTCCCCACTCCTCATGTGCACCTAATGAGGTAATACACCAGTTTGTCTACACTCCTAAAATCCAGCTGCCAATCCTTTTAAACCATCCTCAGAAGAAGGCAGACCTCGTGTGGATTTATGCTCTCTGGGATGGGCAGATTGAGCTGTATGGGTAGGCGGTGTGACGTCCTAAAAACTGGAACGCTTCTGCTACAGTAGGGGATTGGGGCAAATCAGCCATTTTTGGTGAGAACTACCCTTCGGAACGACACTTTCTTTGTAGAAGAGATGTTGGTGCAGTAAAATCCATCAGGATCGTCTATTTCCAGCTTCAGAATTTGGGGCAGACAGCAGGGAAAACATCCACAGAACCATTAGCATGTGGCAGCACCAAACCAATACTAATCTATTTGGAGATTCCCCCCTCCAGCTTATTTAATAGGAAGCCAATGAAACATCACTTGGCAGTAACTCTGGGTAAGCAGTTCTCCCACCAACTTCAGAGAGACAAACATTCCAGCTGCAACCCAGTCACTGTTACTCATGAGGTGGGGAGGAATAGTTTATGAAAGTTGCCTCACTGCTAGGAACAGGAGAAAAATGCAGCTCTGAAAACAGAACCTCAGATTTCAACCTCTATAGTAGTCTCTTGCAAAATCTACGTTTTGGCTTGAACTAAGTGGAGAGAGGAGCCACTCCAAAATAAACCAAGGTGCCTTGACCCTAGGCCAGTCTTGCAGAAGACAGTCTCTGGGCAGGATGTGAATTCACTCCATACCGTCTGTTTCCACAATATACTCCTGAGGGCATTCTGTGCCAAATAATTAAAATTCTGCGCACAATATTTTAAAATTCTGCAAATTTTATTTGTCAAATAAATGTGGAGGCTCCAGCATGGCCTTGGGGAGCACAGGCCCCTGGCTGCAGGGAGGTGGGAAATCACTGTGCAGCTCCTCCCCGGGACACAGACTCAGCGGTGAGGCTGCACCCAACCCTGACATGGCACAAGGACCCGGCCTGCCCCAGAAACACCCCAGGGCCCTGCACTTCCATGCCAGGTGCATCAGGTGTGGGCAAGTAGGCTCATCAAGGCGGGATCCAAGTGTGGAGGGGCTTAGTGTGGGGGGATCTAGTTGGGGGTTGAGAGGGTTCTGTTTGGGGCAATCTGGGTGCGGGCAGCTCAGTGGGGGATCTGGGTACAGAGGGGATCGGGATACACGGGGACGGGGGTTCTGGGTGCAATGGTAATGGGACTCTGCAGAGGGATCCAGGTGAAGGTGGTTGGGGCTCAGCAGGGGCGGATATGGGGGGTCCAAATGCTGGGGGAGTGGGGCTCATCATGGGGGTTCTGAGTGCAGGGGGGTGAGGCTCGGCATGGGGGTCTGAGTATGAGGGGGTCTGGATGTATGGGGTTGGGCAGATGGGGGAGCTGCTCCCCATACAGGGATCCCTCCCGCGTAACTGAGGAGCAACGCATGCAGGAAGCGGTGGCGAGGAGTTTGCAGAGCTTCCTGCAGCCCGGGGAGAAATCTGGGGGTAGGTCTGACCCGGCCCCAGTTGCCATGCAGGGGAAGAGGAAGTCCAGTCCTCCCCAGCCCAGACTAGCAGCTGAGCCGGCGTAGGGTAGGAGCCGTCATCTGGGTCTTCCCCAGTCCTGCCTCCTGCCCCACAGTGATTTACCTCTCTGCCAGCTGCCCTGGGCACCTGAAACATATTGCTGAGAAGGGTCACATGACCACTCTTGTGACTTCCCTTTGCTTCCCCATCAGAAAGTCATTTTTCTGCAGGGAATCAAATAAATCTGCGGGGGACATATATTCTGCGCATGCGTAGTGGTGCAGAATTCCCCCAGGAGAAACAATACAGCCCAGACACAGCAGCAATCCCAGGATGTTTTTCAAAGGGAATTTCCCAGTCCTGCTGTCTTGGCTGAAAGGGGAATGGGGTCTCTGCCTCCCTTAGATTTGTTACCCAGCCTCTACTCCTCTGTAATAATCACAAGGGAGGGGATAGGCACATGGTTCCTTTCTGCAACTGCTACCAGCTCCTACCGTGGGGCTGCACCAGAGTCATCAAGCCTGCATCTCAGCAATGCCCCAGCCCCACCAAGCACAAATCAGACCCAATTCTAAGAACTGGTTAACAAAGTTTGTGCCCTGCCATACTACAGCTAATCTATTTTCAACAGCCAGGACAAAAACATGGTTAACGTGCTGGTAAGCAGGCTGCAGGAGACCCATGTAATGGGCACAAACTCTGTTAGCCATTATAAACAGAGTTTTTGCGCTTTAAGAACCTATAAGTAGTAAGTGTGGCCAAGACCTTAGAGAACAGGAGTGAGAGGCCATCGCTATTTACATCATTAGTAGTAACAGCAGCATGTGTTACTGGGAGCCCAAGTCAAAGGCCAGGACCCCATTGTGCTAGGCGCTGTACACACACACAAGGTGGTCTACTCCCTACCCCAAAGAGCTTACATGTGGATTCCATGTGGACCATTCCTTCCCTAAGATGCTGCTGTGCTCAGCCC